TGATGATTCTGCTTTGACATAGGCTTATGTGCAATGGAGGCAGTGGATCATGGGAGAAAAAAAATCTGTACCCTGTGAAACCAATAAATCCTTCCTCTCTTAAATCACTCAAGCCAAATATTTTGTAGCAACAATGCAAATTGGCTAACAGAAGGTTTAATTCTCTTCCTTCATTACTATTGTTTTCACATTTGCACACTGAAATCACTTAAAAATTTGTATTTTTATTGGGGTGAAAATTACATTGCAAACTTAAAGATGCTAATGTTTATGCTTTTCATCTCCCCTGAGATTGATAACTTAATCATTTTAGAAGAGTTTACATAAATTGACCAGGTAGATTTATAATGTAGTACTTAAGAGATATGAAGGTATTTATGAGACGATAATAATAGTAGTAACAATGATAGCTTATGGGGCAGAAAACTGGTGAAATGACAAAACAGTAAATAGCAAATTGATACTAAGTTCATTTTGGGCTATATTTGCAGGCAGGGACTATGTTATGAGACCTTTAGCACAAGTGACCTGATTGTAGAGCAACAGGTTAAGTATTTGATAAATATACACTTCCTCAGGGAATGAAGCCTGAGGAATGGAGGCAAAGAAAAAGATAAAGCAGTGTTCCTAGTATTATGGCTTAAATTCAAACTACAGAATAAAGTCAATGTTGATGTGAAAAAAATTATTTGTAAAAGTGCTAGGAAAGAGACTAGCCTTCCAGGTAAATCTTGTTTCTTTCAGTTGAAACTAGCAGGCACATATGTTCCAAATGAAAAGATAATTACTCCAGTGTATTTTGGCATTAAGCATTTGGGCATAAAATGAGTCTTTCAGGTTTTGTGGAAATGACTTAAGTGATCCAGTTAATCTATCAGTTTCAAAGACATGGCCCATTTGGAAAATATCTGAGGAAAAGCATTTAAAAATCATTTTGATGTTTCCTACTTGGAAGTGTTTATCGATTAATTCATGTAAGGATTTTTTTCTTTACTTGTTATTGAAGTTTTTTGTCAATGTCATTTCAGTTGATTTCCTCAATGGAACACAAGTAGGGAGAAGAGAAATGTGAATGGCCAGCAACTTCCTCGCCCAGCTCTTTGATTATTTCTTTAGTTAAAATGGACAGATATGAATCTAAGTTGTAATTTTCTCTTTAGATAATTCCTTTAGTTCAAAGGTGCAATTTGTATGAAAATATCTCACAAACTGAAAAGGATGAAATGACATACCCAAGGATATAGAGATAAAGGACTGATGAAGTGTTTCTTGGAGTGATCTGCTTCCTGAATTACATAGTGCTTGTAAGTGAAAAGACACAATATAACAATCCAAAACCACAAACTTCTTTTTATAGAATAAAAGAATGAGAAACAAAGAGGAGGTCTGGAGGAAGATGGTGGAGGAGAAGCTGGTGGCTAAACTAGCTCTGGTGTAGAGACTGGTTTTAGTGTTCCAGTGAAAAGTCCAAGGCTAGAGAATCATACCAAGTGTGCCACCATCATACAGAAAGTTTGGCCAGAGAGGAAAAATTCAGGCAGCTTGGTTAAGGAGACAGATTCAAGCACTTGGTGTTTCCACACCCGCAGCAGTGGCTGCTGCTACAGCTGCCATATCAACACAGAGAGTCCAGGAAAAAGGTGCCAGATGAGGTGTGGGAGCAGAGTCTACTTATTGCCAGCAAGAACTGACAAGAAGCAGAAATCTTCATCCTGCTGAAAACAGACAATTGCAGACCATGGATGCATGGAAACGAAGGGAAAGCTGTGAGTAACCCCAAGACATTCTCACTCCTTCTCACGGAGTAGCCTTGGAACGTAGCTCCTCCCCCATCATTGGAGAAGAACTCCATCTTTGATACTGACAAAGACCAGGCCAGAGTAGCTAGCCAGTAACTCAGGCCTAGGAAGAAAGCAATAGGAGTCATTCAACAGGTCAAAGGAACCTGATCAGCTGGTCTCTGCTCCATGCAGGGAAAAGTTGCCCTTCCCAGGCAGTGAGCTTCACCCATGGAAGAGTGACTTTCTTCACTGGGTAAACAGAGCCAGAGGCTGCCTTTCCCCACTCCAGCCTAGGCAACAGACCCGGCAGCACAATTGGAAACACAATACTCATAAATCCTGAGAATGGCTCTGGGCTGGGCTGTGTGAGTGTCTCAGGAGCTAGCCCCTCAGGAAAAAGCTACTGATTGCTAACAGGCCTCAATCCTATCCACAACCTTGTCCCATCACAGCAACTCCAAGCTAGAAGAAACAGCAATCTAGGTCTTTGGTGATACTCAAAGCCCTCCATTGACCTACCCTGGCAGGAGGGTCATAAAATCCCTGGTAAGGCAGAATTCCTTCTATTTGATCAAAAAAACTGATTTAAGAAACCAGTCGAGCCACAGGAAAACCAAACACCACAAGCAAACAAGAGACTCCACCAAAAGACTGGTTACAGACAGAGAGGAGGCCTAAGATTCCCCCTTCTCAAAAATAAAATTAAAGAACTTTTTTTCCAGCTTTTTTTTTCTTTAATGTTTTCTATTTTTTCATCATTTTTATTTTAGTTTTTTAAAATTCTCTCTATCTTTTTACTCTTTTCCCTTTGGGTCTTTTTTTTTTTTTTTTGCTTTACTTAATTCCTGTTCTGTTCATATCCAGATATATACACATCTTTCATTATTAGGCCTTATCCTTCATTGTGTGACTACTTTATTCAGATATCGATTACTCAGTTCACAAACTCTCAGCCTTAACTCCTTTAATTGTAGTATTATTTCTTTATACTTATATAATTTAAGTGTTTCATTTTAAAATGTTTTATATTTCTTTTTTCTGTATCTCTCTTCTCCATTCTTTTTACCCTTTTCCTCTCTCTGCATTTAGATCTTTATTATATTCGCTCTCTCCTTTCCATGCCTAGATTCCTCTAATATTATTTTCTCAAAATTATCACTAAACCTATTAATTTCTGATCAGCTGACTCTTTGTTTGATTTTCTTAGTCCAATGATCCCTAGTGGTTTGTTGTAAATCTAGATTGTATCTATAGATACAATCTATAAGTATAGATTGTATCTATAGATACAATCTATACTTATAGATTGTATCTATACTTATTTTGATTGCGTCAAACAATCTGTGCAACTACAGGTTGATGCTTGCCTTAAAATAGTGTTCTAATGTGGAATTGGTTTTGCTTTAATACCCAAGTGGGCAGAACAAGCCAGAGAAACACAAGAAAAATAGCAAGTCCAGGTATCTCAACTCCCACTCATGATAATCAGGCAACAGAGCACTTAATGAATAATCCAGAGGGGAGTTTCCCAGATGCCCTACAAACACTAATGGTAACATGCTGAATGAAAATATTTAAAGCCTGCAAAGAACTCTGTGTGAGCGTGAAACGGAAATGTGTGAGCATGATGAAGCTAAAGAAATATTAATACAAATAAAAAACTCAGGGAACTAAGGAATGGAAACAGCACAGAAACAACCAAGATTCAGAACATTATAAGGGAATACTCCTCAAACCTGTATGCTAATAAGTTTGAGAATCTGAAAGAAATGGGCAAATTTCTAGCAAATATTGACATGACCAAACAAAAGTAAGATGCCTTAAATGTGCTTAACATATCCATATCAAGCATCAAAATAGAAACAGCAATAAGAGACATACCATCCAAGAAAAGCCCAGGACAGGATGGATTTACGGCTGTATTCTATAAGGTCTTCAAAGTAGAACTCACAACAATACTCCTCCAAATCTTCGATGAAACTCAAATAGAAAGTTCACTACTAAACTCTTTCTATGAAGCAATCATAGCCTTCATCTCAAAACTAGGCAGGGGCTCATCTAAAAAAGGGAACTAAAGACCCATTTCTTTATTTTTTTAACTGTGAAAATACTGTACAGAAGGGTTACAATCACATGAGCAAGGTAATGAGTACATTTCCTATCAAACATTGTTGCCTCCTCCTTTGTTTACTCCCTCCCATCCTTCCCCCCATCTCCAAAACAACATCCCCCCCACCCCGCCTAAATTGTAAAGTTTGTTTTTCAACATAGTGTCTTGGACATCTCATTGTTGCAATGAGTCAACCTGTATCCCTATTTAAACAATTTGTTTTTTTCCCTTCTGCTCCCCAAATTACACCAACATCAAAATACAGTGAAAAAAGGGGTTATATCATAGGGGAGGGGCATACAAAACAACAAAAAAATCACATAGTACCTTATAAATACATTAGAAACAATACTAAGAAAGAAAAAAACACTTGTATCTTTATCTTGAGGTTCATTTATTCCTTTGATGAATATCAACGCAAAATTTCTCAACAATATTTTGGCAAATTGACTTCAACAACTCATAGAAAAAAAGAAAACAAAAGAAAAATCATACACCATGATCAAACAGGATTCATTCCAGGGATACAAAGCTGGTTCAATATACACAAATAAATTAATATAATTCATCACCACATCAACAAAAGCAAGGATAAGAACAACATGATTGTCTCAATAGATGCAGAAAAAGCATTTGACAAGATCCAACACTACTTTATGATGAAAGCTCTGAAAAACTAGGAATCTATGGGACATTCCTCAATATAATAAAGGCTGTATATAAACCTACAGCTAGCATTATACTAAATGGCAAAAAGCTAAAGCTATTTCCTCTAAATTCACGAATGATACAAGGATGTCTACTCTCCCCACTTCACTTCAATTTAGTATTAGAATGCTTAACTAGAGCAATAAGACAAGATGCAAACATAAAGGGGATCCAAATAAGGAAAGCTGAATTAAAACTCTCCCTCTTTGCAGATGACATTTTCTTATATTTAAAGAGGCCCATGGACTCCACTCCCAAGTTACTCAAGCTGGCAAATTAGCAGAATATAAAATTAACCTTCATAAATCAATGAATTTTCTGTATTCAAATAGCAAGAAGAGCATGGCTGAAATCAGGAAAGCAACTCCTTTTGTAATAGCTCACAAAAAATAAAACACCATCGGGCACTGGTGGTTCATGCTTGTAATCCTAGCTACTCAGGAGGTGAGATATAAGGAATGCAGTTCAACGTCAGCCAGGGGAGGAAAGTCTGTGAAACTCTTATCTTCAATAAACTACCAGAAAACTGGAAGTGGTGCTGTAGTTCAAGTGGCAGAGCACTCGACTTGAGCTGAAGAGCTGAGGGACAGTGCCCAGGCCCAGAGTTCAAGCCCCATGACTGACAATGTAAATAAATAAATAAAATTAAATAAAAATAAAATAAAATACCTAGGAGTTAACTAAAGAAGTGAGAGACCTCTATGATCAAAACATTAAAAACCTGAAAAGGAAACTAAAGCAGAACTGAAGAATTGGAAAACATCTATGCTCCTGGATTGGGACGATTTACATCTTGAAAACGGTGATAATGCCCAAGGTTATCTACAAATCCAATGCAATACCTATCAATATCCCAACCAACCTCATTCTTCAAGGAAATAGAAGAAGTAATCCAAAAGTTCATATGGAACAATAAAAGATCCCGAATCGCAAAACAAGCATTAGCAGAATTTACAGTGCTGAAGAAATACCAATACCAAATTGGAAACTCTACTACAAAGCCACAGTAATCAAAACAGCTTGGTACTGGCACAAGAACAGACCTGAGGACCAAGGGAATAGAACTGAAGACCCAGAAATGAAACCACAGACCTATAGCCACCTAATCTTCGATAAAGAAGCTATAAAATAGAATGGAAGGAAGACAGCCTTTTCAGCAAATGGTGCTGGCAAAATTAGAAAACTCTAGGGCTCCTTTGCACGGGCCAAAATTTTCTTATTAAAGACCCAGAAAGACAAGAAATCGAAGAAAAGTTGTGGAAAAATGGGAGTGCATGAAACTGCAGAGCTTCTGCATGACAAAGGACATAGCTAACAAGATTAATAGAAAGCCCACAGCTTGGGAGAAGTTTTTCACTAGCAATACAATGGACAAGGGTTTCATAATCTAAAATACAATCAGAACTCAAAAATTTTAATCCTCCAAAAAAATCATCAAAGAAAAAACTGCCCAATTACTAAGTGGGCTAAAGACTTAAAGAGAAAGTTATCGAAAGAGGAAATAAGAATGGCCAATAGAAACATGAAGAAATGCTCAACTTCTCTAGACATAAAAAAAAAAATGTAAATCAAAACAACATTGAGATACCCTCACCCAAGTGAGAATGGCTACAATCAAGAAATCTAGTAACAACAGATGCTGGAGGGGATGTGGCCAGAAGGGAACCTTACTGCATTGTTGGTAGGAGTGTAAAAGTGTTCAACCACTTTGGAAAGCAGTATGGAAGTTCCTCAAAAGACTCCACATAGAGCTCCACTATGACCCAGCAATCCCACTCCTGAGTATTTACCCAAATGATCACAAACAAGGCCATACTAGAGCTACCATCACAACTATGTTTATCACAGCATTATTCACTATAGCTAAGATATGGAACCAAATCAGATGCCCCTCAGTAGATGACAGGATCAAGATAATGTGGTTTATATATAGAATGGAATTGTATGCCTCCATCAGAAAATATGACACAGCCCTATTTGTTAGAAAATGGAAAGACTTGGAAAAAATTTTATTAAGTGATGTAAGCCAGGCCCAAAGAAACATAGGTCCCGTGGTTACCCTTATTTGCAATAATGAGTACATGTCTAGGACAAGCAGAAAGTGTCAAAAACTATGTACATATGAACATATAAGCTGATGCTAAGCGAAATAAACCCCTAGATAGGGACACAAGAGGTTTTATCTTTGTTGGTATTGTTTTTAATGTATTTATCATGTACTGTGTCATTTTTTTTTTTTTTTTGTTTCTTGGGTATGTTCTTCCCCACGGTACAAGCCCTTTTATCACTGTATTTGATTCTGGTGCCCTGCATCTTCTATATATATTTTTCTAATTTGGGGAGGGAAAGGAAATAACAAAATGCTGAAATAAGGATACAGTTTGATCCATTGTAACCATGAGACGTACAAGACACTATGTTGATAACAAACTTTACAGTTTTGGGAGTGGGGAGGGACAAGTTAGGGAGGTGAGGAAAAAAAAAGGGTGTTAAGGGGAAAAAAAGGAGAGGGTAACAATGTTGTTAGGAAATATTCTCATGTCCTTACTCATGTAACTGTAACCCACTGTACAGTATCATTACAATAAAAAGATATTTTTCAAAATATGAGAAACAAAAGCAAAAATGGTTGGGATCCACAAGGTTTGGTCAAAGAAAGGTATCAATGTAAAGGTATCAGAATAAATAGAAAGATGAATCTGGAAGATTTTCACAATGTAGAATTTAGTATTTTTACAGTTCCTTGTATGCAGGACAATACCATGAGCGTGAAGAAGAGAGTTTTTAAAAGATTGCTGCTTATTCTACATACTCAAAGATATTGCATGAATGACTGAAGGGAGGCTGCCATAAATCAATTCACATATAAATCCATCATATATAATACACAGATTTTCCCTAACTTATTCAAAGAAAATCCCAATGGGTTCCTAAAGATAAAGATATTCATGCAACATAGTAAAATCATAGAATTGCCTATGTTCTACATCAGGGATAGGAAATTTAGCTCATAGTCATCATTATTTAATACTATCATAATAGCTAGCATATCATATCAATATGTTTTCCAATAGTTTTAATTCTGCCAGATTTCAATTTTTGTACACAATTACCTTTATTATTTGTTTTCCAAGTCTACTTTTATTCTTATAATTAAAATCTTTGATAGTCTTTGCGATAGTCACATAAAAGGAAACTTCAAGTAAGTCTTATCAAATTTATTTCGTGTCTATTATGTTTTCTATTACTTTTCTTAATTCAAAACCCTTGAACTCTGAGCACATAAAACTGAAAAAAGAAAAACATTGCTTTGGAATAGTCCATTGAATTACGTAGAGGACATAAACGAAAGATATCTCAAGAAATAGAATTTGTCTTTGTAGCCAGTAGAAGACCACATTTTGTCACCTAGATGAAAATTCCAGTGTTCACTAAATTTTCTTGCCTCATGGGCTGTTTAGCTCCTTACCTGCAAAATCCTGCTCAAACAGAAGACAAAAATTCAATTTCTCTATGCAATATTAATGTTTTACATCTCATAGCACAGTGTTATGACTAAGAAGGAAAAGCTCAGAGAAGCCAGTTTTGCCTGGGTTTCAATGTTAATTATTCCATTGACTTGTGTTCTGTGCTTCAGTTTTCTCATCAACAGAAAGGCAGTATGACTAATAAAGGGATAATATGACTCTAGATCCTAGGATAATTATGAGTAGTGAATGTTTGAATATTTATTGGACATCTTAAAGATCTCTATAGATACATACATATGTATATATGTATGTGTACTATATATGTATGTATACTAAGCACTACATAAGGATTACTGAACACCAATAAATTGGACTTCATTTTAAAACCAATAGGAGCATCATTACATAAGCCAAACAAAGCATAATTGTGAATTTTCTCCCAGGCTGCGTGATATTTAGCTATGAATTTATAATTGATAGGAATGTGACATCTACCATGACATCCTAAGAGGAAAAGAGAAATAATCATATTTTGTGTTGCTTCAGATGAGAGACAGGGCTGAGATCAGTTAGTGGGAAGTCAGAAGTACTTTTTACCACTTAGATATATTAAACAGTACAATAAAGCCCATCAAAAAGTAGCGTTCTCAACCTCTGAATGTAGTTCTAGCAAAAACTAGAAGATAGAGTAAGCTTTGAGGATATAATAAAGAGAAGTTCTGTAGTGGGTAAGGCTTTGGAAAAAATGAGCACTAAAAAGATTTCCACCTCTAAAGTCATGAATGTAACGTGACAAATATCATTGAATCTTGGCAAACACAAAGCAGTGCAAATGGAGGGCACTGCTGGTCTTTATCAATAATGCAAACCAATCAGCTCCATCAATGGTCGGGAAGAGGAAACAGCAGTGAGAGTGGCCATGTTTTTGAGGAATCGACGGAAGTTCATTTAGGAGTTTTAGGCCTGAGTGCCATGGTTCTGGGAGAATGCCGATATTAGAACTAGGTGATGGGAGAGCAGGGAGAGATCACTAGAAGGGCAAGATGCCAATTAATACCAATCCCTTCCTTCTGTATTCTCCCCCCCCTTCATCCCTTCCACACACACACATACACTTGAAAGATACCTATGGCCCTGCAGCATCTCAGAGTGGCTGGTTGACTTCTGACAATTATAAATCTTGTTCTGCAAGTGGAAATTGATGGGCAGTGAATGGAAGGTAGATTGGGGTGATGCAGAATTGATAGAATGCCACTGAGATAAATGGCCAAACACAATTTTACCAAGGACAAACACTACATCTTGTCTTCATTAAGGGTTGAAGGAATCCATTTGTGTACGTACTTTCCTTCCCCTTCACAAACATAGGACTTTGGAATTACACTGAAGATAAAGCTTTACTTGGTCTAATTTTCAGAGTTTACTTTGGCAATACCAATCTTTTCTAGTTTTTGCTAACAATGTGGACATCAAAATTAGATTATTGTTAAAAATGAAGAATTTGCTTTTACTCTGACATGTTTGGGCTTTTTACATTTGTTTCAATATTCAGTACATATTTCTTGAGTTTCCCCAAAGACTTCATTTTGGGAGAAAATAAGAAATCTTTGAACCCTTGTGGACTTGAATTTTTAAATAATTACCAGAGAACATTTCATATTATATAGATCACGTTGAGTCTTCCTTATATATTGTTTCTTATCTCAAAGCAATACCCATAAATTTTATAGATGTTATGAAATTTTAAAACCTACAGAACTCCAAAGACTGAGCCCATGTTTAAAGCTGAAAATGAAAGCTAGCATAGGAATCTTAGAAGACATAAATGCTGTTACAATAAAACCAAGACTCATAATATCTTCTGGTTCTCTGTCTAATGTGTTTTCTTCATGATAATAACAATGTATTTGATGACACAAGTATTAGCTGAGTTCTAATAATATTTGCAACATTAAGTTTAGTATAGGGGATATAGTAAAGTAGTTTTGAATTTCCACACATCTGTCTACAGGTCTGTGCAAACTAATAGATGAAACATAATAGTGTTTAAAGTAAAATATAAAGAGTGAATAGAAAGAAACCCCTGGATTGGCTGGCTTTAAACATCAAAGTAATAGGCTTACAAGTTTTTCATGAATGAAGAAAATGAAGATATTATGTCCCTTTAATCTTCCACATATTCAGTAATTAATATGCAATAGATGTTTGAGTCACATGCTACAAATATTGAAAAACTATTTCTTGTGCTTTTTTCTATATGGAGCACTGGGAAGAGAATAGGAGAAAACAGACATATTTCTATTCTTATGAAATAGTTTTGGTGGCAAGGATAATGGACAGAGGCAAATATAATTTTAAGAAAAGAGAGTTTAAAAAAGGTTGTGTGAAAATAAACATGATATTATCATAAAGAATGACTACATAGCTGTATTATTTTAATGATCCAGAGAACTCACATTCAGGAAATAATTTTTAAATTTGGAAACATAAATAGTCACCCGTGCTGTAAGGAATATTCTAGCTTAGCAGAAAACAGCTTGTAGAAGGGTTCTTTATTCCTGAATAGGGTCTCAATGCTATGGAACATTTAAAAAGCTAAGTTTAGGATGAAAAAGGAAAGTAAAGATCAGAGACATCATTTCAGAGATGTGAGAGTGGCAGAGTTTTGCATATGAGGATAAAGGGGTGGATCACTGAAGCATTTAAGGAGACTGACAAGATCCTTTGAATGATTGTTTTGATTGTAATGAATGGAACAAGAGATATCAATCTTAAGAGCCAAAGAAACTAGTTAGGTAGTTCAACTGTAAACAAGAAAAGAAGCAAGGACGATTTCATCTAGAATGATGCATTTTTGCCCAGTGGAAATTTAGCAATAAGGGACACATTTTTTTTAAATGGTAGTAAGTTTCTTAAAGAGAAAAATGAAATATATTGCAAGTGAGATGAGGGCTGGAGAAAAGCTACAGTGCCTAGGCATATTTTTTATTGACTTGCCTGGTAGTAGTTAGGTAGAGTCATCTTATTTCATCTGGTAGGTAAAGGGCAGGGGTGCTGGTAAACATCCTACAGAATATAACTCATTAAATATGATCTTACGTTGTCAGAGACATCATGAAGATGATACTTATACAGTCTGATATGTTTTCCCCATAGTTAGAAGGGAGCCAAACTAGGTTCAGTACTCTGCTGTTGTCATCCTGAAATTCTGAAATTGCAACTGTGAACTTGTCATCTGGAAGTGAAATTCAATAGGACAATAGAACAAGCTTATGAGAAGTGTAGACAGTTATTATCTTCCCTGCTGCTCCATTGACACTTAAGACTTACCATATCTGAGGAGGACTTTAAGGGAGCCCCAAGGTTTATAGCTGTTTAGAGAGACTACCATAAACACAGTAAAGGTATTACATATATGATTGTGTCCTGTGACTGGTATCTGAAATCTCAAGAGACCACATTTCCTGTTTGCAATTGTTTCCAAGGCAGGAAAATAGGAAAGACTTTCAAGGAAATATATGTAGCTAAAGGACCTTCAATTTTTTTTCATGCATACATTACTCCTCTGTGTATGTTCAATGCTTAACTTTAACTTATAATTTTAAGTAAGTGAAAATAGAAAAATCATTGTTTCCTTTTTTTCTTTCCTTTCTGTTCAGAACAATTTCAGAATATGCACAGATGAAGATATGAGATTAGAAACAATCAAGTTAGTTTTGTGAAACAGCTATATCATTATGATTGTGTATAAAATGCAAATGTTCTCATATCTGAATTCAACAGGCACTATAAAAGGATAAATGTGAAATTTTCTTCTTCAAAATTTATCCTTTTAATTTTTCTCTATTTAAAATTACATCAAGCCAGGAGCCAGTGGCTCATGCCTGTAATCCTAGCTACTCAGGAGGCTGAGATCTGAGGATCACGGTTCAAAGCCAGCCTGGACTGGAAAGCCCATGACACTCTTATCTCCAATAAACCACTAGATAACAAGGAGTGGAGCTGTGGCTTAAGCTGTAGAGCACTCGCCTTGAGCTGAAGAGCAAGGGATAGCGCCCAAGCCGAGTTCAAGCCCCATGACTGACAAAATAAATGAAAAATAAAAATAAAATGACATCAAATAAATTAATGCCATGATAAATCAAACAAGATACAGAAGAAGAAAATCTTTATACATTAGTATGTTTGACATCATATTATCTACTCACTTAAACATGGGTTCCTTACACTTTTATACTGCAATAATTCCTGGTGATAAGCATTAGAATTTCTTTTTTTAAAAGTTTTATTAATAAGTTATTTTATTGTGAAAATACCTTACAGAGAGGTTACAATTACATGAGCAACATAATGAGTACATTTCTTATCAAGCATTGTTGCCTCCTCCTTTTTCTTTTCTTTTTTAAAAATTATTATTATTATTATTTTATTGTGAGAATTCCATACAGAGGAGTTACAATTACATGGGCAAGATAAAGAGTACATTTCTTATCAAGCATTTTTGCCTCCTCCTTGTTTCCCCTTCCCATCCCTTCCCATACTCCTCCCCTCCTCCCACCCGATCCTCCCCCGACCGCCCACCAAAGTTGTTAAGGTCGGTTCTCTACATAACAACTTATACATCTCATTGTTGCAATGGGTCCACCTGTATCCCTAGTTAAATGATTTGTTTTTGTCCCTTCCTCTCCACAAATTATACCAACATCAAATATAGTGAAAATATGGGTTATGCTGTGGGAGAGGGACATACAAAGCAACATAGAAATCATCTTATAAATATGATAGAAACAATTGCATGAAAGGAAAAAAAAACAAAAAACATTTGAAACTTATCTTGGGGTTGATTCCCCTAACATCAACTTATCTGACCTTTTCTGCTTGTCTCAGACATATACTAGTTATTGCAAATAAGGGAAACCAGGGGACCTATGTTTCTTTGGGCCTGGCTTACTTAATATAATTTTTTCCAAGCCTTTCCATTTCCTAATAAACGGGGCAATATCATTCTTTCTGATGCAGGCATAGAATTCCATTGTGTATATATACCACATTTTCTTGATCCATTCATCTACGAGGGACATCTGGGTTGTTTCCATATCTTAGCTATGGTAAATAATGCTGCAATATACATAGTCGTGCTGGTAGCTTTAGTGTGGTCCTGTTTGTGACCATTTGGGTAAATCCCCAAATTGGGATTGCTGGGTCATAGGGGAGCTCTATGTGGAGTCTTTTGAGGAACCTCCATACTGCTTTCCAAAGTGGTTGAACAAGTTTACACCAACAATGCTGTAAGGTTCCCTTCTGTCCACATCCCCTCCAGCATGTGTTGTTTAAAATTAGGGTTCTTGATTATAGCCATTCTAACTAGAGTGAGGTGGTATCTCAATGTTGTTTTGATTTGCATTTCTTTTATGGCTAGAGAGATTGAGCATTTCTTCATGTGTCTTTTGGTCATCCTTCTTTCCTCTTCAGAAAAGTTTCTCTTTAAGTCTTTAGCCCACTTATTTATTGGGCAGTTGTTTCTTTGAAGATTTGTTATTGGGGGATTTAATTTTTTAAGTTCCAGGTATATTTTAGATATGAGACCTTGTCTGTTGTATGGCTAGTGAAGATCTTCTCCCAATCCGTGGGCTTTGTATTGATCTTGCAAGCTATGTCCTTTGCCATGCAGAATCTCTGCAACTTCATGCAATCCCATTTGTCCAACCTTTCTTTGATTTCTTGTGTTTCTGGGTCTCTATTAAGAAAATTTCAGCCTGTGCCAAGGAGACCTAGGGTTTCTCCTATTCCATCCTGTAATGTTTTCAGAGTGTTTGTTTTGACTCCGAGGTCTTTGATCCATTTGGAGTTGATTCTGGTGCAAGGTGATATATAAAGATCTAGCTTTAGTTTTCTACAAGTAGTTAACCAGTTTTGCCAGCACCATTCACTGAAGAGGTTGTCTTGCTTCCATTCTATTTTTTAGCTCCTTTATCAAAGATTAGATGGCTATAGGTCTTTAGGTTCATTTCTGAGTTTTCAAGTCTATTCCATTTGTCCTGGTGTCTGTTCTTGTGACAGTACCAAGCTGTTTTGATTACTATGTCTTTGTAGTAGAGATTGCTATCTTCCTCTGCTTCTAAGCATTAGAATTTCAAGGTTGAGAATTCCTGGTATAGAAAGTATCAGAGGAGATGGAGAAAAGTGGACAAATACAAGATTGGTCTCCAGGCAAAGATAACTGGACTTTCCATTGCATTGTTGGAGGATACCCAACAAATGTGAAGAACAAACAGCTAGCTGCGTACTAAATTCATGAAATGACATGTCTTTTAATTTATTCCCAAAGACAGTTACAGTACGTATATATAGATAGTTCGGTGACTTTTTAAAAAGAAAAATGCATTTGATTGTCCAAAATCTAAGCGCTATTAAAAGACAAACTCTAGTTTAAATCAGAAGCCCTTAGGATTCACAGAAAGCTTGTCCTGTGGGATACTCATCTTCCCATTATTACAAGATGTGGTTTCATCTAAAATTTACGTGACAAATTGTAAATGGAAGCTCATGGAAGATAGCAAAAAGCTCTCTCATCTGCTTTGATCTGTGGGCTTTCTTTTTCTGCTGGTAATGCCATAATAAATATCCTTTTCACTATGTCTTGTCAATTTATATGTCTTCCAATATTGTGCAATATATTGGAGGAAGGTTTAAAAAATTGAGAAATATGAGTGTATGAAACAGAAAGTATTTGCTGTGTCTTTTCATTATACTGTATTCTGTATTTATATAATTCATAGTTTTCTTCATAAACTTCTTGTCAAGTATTTGAACAGTCATTTACTTTATCTGTATTTCCAAGAATGATGAATATACTATCATATCAGTAAAAGTGACCAAATATTCCACTTTATAGAAACCTAAATTATAGAAATATATTGGACTGTTTGAAAATTTATTCTAAAATGTCATACTCCTCTAAATGTACAGAAGTGATGAGATTTACAACTTTAAAGGTATCCTTGGATAGTTTAGTTATTTATAGATTTAAAAGTATTGATATTCTCATTAAATGGTCTCTCTAAAGTCTACATTAATTTCTTCTACCAGCAATAATAAAATAGCACATGACACAGAAGTCTGTTTATGCCAAGGATAATTCAATTGTGAAATAATGAGTGTTTCATTATTTAACTTTTGTAACTGTTTTACCTGCTTGTTAAGATAATTACAGCTTGAATTTTTCTCTGACTATTTGGATCAGGTTCTACTAAGCCAAACTACCTTACATCTTTTCTTTCTCTTAAAATCAGTTATTTCTCATCAATTTTCTGCTGAAAATTTGGGCTGAACTTATGAGATTCTCAACTGAGCTTTCACCGTCCCAGGAGGCAAAATAAGATTTATTCCATGTCACAGCCAAAGCAAAGATATTGGTTTTAGTTTTGCGATAAGCTGAAGGAAGAAAAAAACTACTAACTTACATTATAGCATGCACTATGGTACAGTTAATATATTCATTCATGTGTCTGCTTTCCTGAATGGCTACAAGATCTCTTAGCAGAAGACATTACAAGCCTGCTCCCTCCACCTCTTCCCATTTGTAATAAAAATCCTTCCCATTTTAGTATTCAACAAATGTCTGATGCATGAATATGTGTTGAAGAAAAGCTTCACATCTCCCAAGCTAGGAAAATTTTAACCCCTGGTTCAGGGTCATTTAGATCAATATGAGTTCAAGATAAACTATAACATTTCAACAATCCACACAAAACTTAAGAGAGGAGCTGCTTGAAAGCAACTCTTTTGGAACAATGTTGTCATGAAAGAACATGATGTGACATAACAATTAGAGGTGAACTGTGGTACAATGAATTTGTTTTTCTGAAATCCAAATAGTGAGACAAAGGAACAAGAGGGGAACGAGCCATATTCACAAGACAATATGTTGGAAATAATCTGTACAACTTGAAGGAGGGGTCAGGGGAGTAAAAGTGGGAGAAAAATAAGGGAAGGGGTAACAAGTTTGACAAGAAAGGTACTTATTACCTTACTTATGCAACTGTAACCCCTCTGTACATCACCTTGACAATAAAAAATAAATAAAGAAGTAATTTGGAGGACTGGGAGATCTGGCATACTTGAAAGACAAAAGATAATTACTGCCCCTCCATGGTCCAAGCAGGAAAAGGTCAGCAACAGAGGACCTGAAGAGGTTTTAGTCTCAAATCCAGCTATCTGTTCTCCCATTTTGGTAAGCTTTGGGCAAGCTAGCAACAATAAGCTTCAAGACCCTCACAAAATATTGGTGGTTGTAGTAAGGTCTATCTCAAAGAAAGATAATAATTTTAAAGCATAAAATAATCCCAAAGAGAATGAGAAGCTACCTTTTTTAAAAAAAAATCTTTCAGGGTTCAGATTAAACTATTTCTTCTTACTGCATCTTCTTCAGGACTCTTCCATCCTTTCTTTGATTTCTGCCTTATCTAGTGAATTTAGTCCATTCTATTGAGTGTTTATCCAATGTCTTCTCCCTATTATAGGAAATGATCGAATATTTTCCTAAGAGGTTCAGAGCAACAACTTCTCCAAAATACACAGAGTCTGATCTGAAAAGCAGGATGCTAAATACCAACTTTTTCCTTCTGGGTACCAGGGACCTAAACTGGTCCCTTTCCATTTCCTAGTGGCAACACATGAAAGCAAAGATAAGCAGGTGGATGTTGTTTAACCCTCCTTTACCTCCTGACCCAAAGCTTCTGTTCTTATCTTGTCTCAGCCATTTCTTCCTTGCTAGACCCTGGGTGTTCCCTCAGAGCAGAAATGGGACCACAAATTCAGAACTCCTCTTTGCTTCCAACAGCCTTATCATTCCCTGGTCTTCCTTCTGTCTCCTTGGGAGGCTCTACGACTGGAATTATGGTGCTAGATTAGCAAACAAGACTTTAATTCGTAGTTTGTCCCCTGTTGTTTGAATTTCTACTATCTTTTGTCAAAAGAAAAATTGATGAGTTTTGTATAGGTGATCAGACATA